ACAATTTTTTATGGATTAAAGGTGTTTTTGATCAGAAAATAAATTGAATAATCCAATACAATAAATTGAATGGGGTTATTGAAAGCTTTTCTAGCCAAAAACGTATTCAATAATCCCATTAAATTTTTTTAATAGAGGATTATTAAATGTATTTTTAATCAGAAACACCTTGAATAATTTTATTTTAGTTTTTGTAAATGATTATTCAAAACATTTTCTGATAAAAAAAATCTTGAAGAATCCCCAATACAAAAATGAAAGAGATTATTTAAGGTATTTTTGACTAAAAATGCATTGAGTTATTAACTTATAAAAATTTATGAGGGTATTATTAAAAATATTTTTTTTTCAAAAACGCCTTCAATAACCCAATTAAAAATCGAGTATAAAATCAAATTTATTTTTTATTGATAAACGAGTCTATTTAAGTGAGTTCGAGTGGTTTGATTTCGATCACGAATTGAGTCGAGTTAAGAAAATGAAACTCGATTGAGTTTGAATCGAGTATCAAGTTGTGAATTAAGAGTTGAGCTTGAACTCGAACTTGAACTTCTTATTATATCGTCTCGATTTGGTTCGATTATACTCCTAATTCTAATAAATCTTTATAGCTTAAATTTGAGCTTAATCATATTAAATAGTTAAGAGGAAACGTTCATAAAATCTTTCGCAGGAATAAAAATAGGCATTGAGCCATTGACTCAATTAGTGAAGCTCCATCTGGTATCGAATTCTTTGCTTTTTAGTTAAATTATTGGTCATGATTCGACCCAAAATTCTCGCCGAATGATTCTTAATTACCAAATGTTTTTGTTTTCCTCTCTTTTTTGGTAATCAAGAAACAAAACAATTGAAAAATATGGGTTTCTTCCTGCTTTTTTATAGTCTACTCAAAAAAGGAAAACAAGATATAAAAAGATCACATGCCTGCGTGTAAAGATTTCCACCAACCTTTTTGTGGGAAAGACTTTAATGAAAATTTTAGTGAAATTTATAAAATTTTTAATTAAAATTAATAATTAAAATTGATAAATTAAAAAATTTTATTACAAAGATTAAATATGTAAAATTTAAAATAAATTTAATAAATTTTGATATATATATATGTTTATATAGATACTTTTAATAAAAATATTAACAGAATTTTTATCGTTAAATAAATATTAATCAAATTTAAATTATAAATAATATTTTTAATAATATTTTTACAATTTTCACATTAAATTTTATTAATTTATTTATTTAAATTTTTAATTAAAACTTTTATTAAATTATTTTTTAAAAAAATTTCACAAACTTCATTTAAAAAACATTATATAAAATTTCCTTCTTTTCAATGACCGTACATACGAATTGAGACTTATTATTATATTTTATAAAAAAAAAGCCGAATTTTAGAGACAAGTGAATGGAAGTTGCTAAGAATGAATTTCAATTTCACAAAGAATTTACCTCTTAAAATAAGGAAGAAACCGTTTGAATTAAATCTTATATTCAAATAAGAAGTTTTAAATTCGAATAATTCATATACTAAAAAATTATGAATCCTTACGATGTTTGAGAAGGCGTTTTTTTTCTCCATTATTGTTGATCGGAACAATATTATTGCTGATAAATGTACAAGAACATGCTGTGAGCTAAAGCCGTACCCCACGCCACCCAACAAAGCCTAATTTGGTGGATGAATGCGAGCTTATAAATGATGTTCCCCAGCAAAATTATAGCAATGTTGGAAGGGAAGCGTCGACAAATTTTCAAAATTTAACTCTCTGGAAGACAACTTCTGTGATTTGTTTGACTAATATGATAACATCCCATCATTACCTGAAATAAATCCCACCACTTTTTGTAAGTGAAAATTTGCCTTTTGAGTTGATTTTTTTTTTTTTTTTTGTGAAGGAAAAATCGATTTCCACTGCTTTAAAACAAGTCCAATGAATGTACTTTAAGAAAAGAGTCTGGGTCCCCCTTAAACATGCACGGCAAGCATCTGGAATCATACCTTCCAGTTGGCATGCATGCCACAGCCACCAGGCGGAAAGGCGAAAGGTTTGTTTCATCATATATTTTGCAAGATATTTCATTGCCAAAAGTGGACGAGACTGAGATAAAGCAGAAGGCATTTTTTATTATTTATTTATTTTTTTCATGTCTTTTTGATAAAAATGTATATATTAGTAATAGACAGAGGAACATTTTAAGTTTTGTTTAAACTTAATTTTTTTGAGATGATTTTAAAAGTATTAGAGTTTAAAGATCACAAATCTTATTTACTCAAAAAATAACAATAAGAGATTTTTTTTTTTTAAATTGATGGCTGTGGCTATATAATGAAAGATAGTGATTTATCGTCATTTTAATTTCAAAATTAATTTAAAAATTTTAAATTAAAATTTAAAAATTTTAACTATTAGAATGTCTATGAGCATAATATTAGACAACATTGGATAAAGAGAATGGGTTAAAGGGTGAACTTCACTTTCAAAACATTACATCAATTCAGGACCACAATGAATCTGGTGAGAAACAGGGATTCTAGCAAAGGCAAAACATAATCTTAAAGAATTGTTCAATTGATTTTAAGTTTGATATTTAATATAATATTAAAATTAAAATTTTTATATGATAAATTTAAAAAAATAATAATTTTTTTTATTTTAATATATATTAAATATTAATTTAAAATCAATTAACCACCGTTTTAATGCATAGTACAAAATTAAATAAACAAGAAAAAAAAAGAAAAGGCTGGTATAAAGTTTTGAAATATTTAATAAAAAATCAACATGGAAAGTTGCTGTTATGATGTAGGCAAAGGCACAGCTCATTGGCCTTTTAGGCTAGGCTTACGGTATCCACTCAAACTCCTGGAAATTCGAGCAACCTTAGCTTAGCGTACATGCAAAAAAAATAATTTCCTTCTTCATGGATTTGTCTCCGATATATGTAGCAATTTTTATTTTTTTTTATGAAACATTATTATACATTTGTATAAATACAAATGTAAAATTAAATCAAACCTTAAATTTAAAATCTTAAAATTTAAAAAAAAAAACTCACCTTCTTCCTGCTAAGATAAGATTTTGTTAGTTTTGACAAAAAAATTAATATCATTAATGACTTATGAATTATAATAAAATATTTAATTTAATATTTAAATGTAAAAAAATTTTAATTAATATTTTTATGAATTTATTGATCAATTTAATATACATCTTTAATTTAATTAATTTTAATAATAACATGTAATGAATAAATAATTTTTAAAATATTATATTAATTAATAAATTTATAATTTAAATATTATATTAAAAATTTAAATATATATTAAATATTTTATTATAATTCAAAAAAATTGTAACGGACAGTTTTTTTTTTTTTTTGGTTAGCTTTTACTACCATTTTGTACAAAATCTTGGTTACAAAATTGTAATTGAAAAATGTTGAAGAAAATTTTGATTTTTTGATATGCATTTCACGTGAATGGTCCAACACTAGCTGGCCTCTTTGCCGGTTCTCACTCTCATGTCATGGAAATCATAGAATTACTAGCATACATTTTTCAACGAATCTTAGAACTAACATTTTCACATGTGATGTGAGCATTTTGTTTTCATCTTCTCATTTTCCTTTCCATTGTATTTTCCTTTTTATTCCTTAGCGAAACAATTTTAAAAAAATACTTTATTCTTTGCAAATACTTCCCAACTAAAAAATATTTTATTTAATGGGTAGAGCATTTTTCATTCAATTCTTAAATTTTTATATTATATTTATTTTTATACTCATATCTAACAAAGATTTTAGTATATCTTTATTTTTATTTTCATAAGTATTTAATGGATATGGATAATTTTCATATCCATAACTTTAAAAAATAAAAATAAAAATTTATTTTTTAATTTTTATTTTGTATATTTAGGTAATTATTTTATAAATATATATTAATATATATTTTTCAATAAAAAATATATTAATTGTAATTAATAGAAATAATAATTTGTATTATTTAATAAAAAAATATATTAACTAAATTTATATATAAATATCTATAAGGTAAAATACAGAATAAATTTTATATTACTCGTTCTTATCTTTATACTTAATAAAAAAATTAAATTATATTTATTTTTATCTTCATACCCATAATGTAATACTTATTTTTATTTATATTAAAATAAAAAATCAAAATTTTCATTGAATATAAGTAAAATTAACATCATTACTCTAAACAATAATTTTTAACAACTCATATGTATTACTTATTTAGCTTTCTTTAACATGACTATAATGTAATATTCAAATCCATTTTCCCTCTTCAATAACAAATTGAATTTGTCGCCAATGTTGTGCAATTTGTTATAGGATATCAAATTTTTAATTTCAATGATAAAAAATTAATATCTGCCTATTATAAATTAAGATATATATATATATATATTTCTTCAAATTCATCGACTTTATCTTGTAAAAAAAAAATACTTACTTTTTTTTTTTTTTAAAGTTCAGAACAAGGCATAGCCTTACAAAAGAAAAAGAAAAATAGATCCTGACTTACAAAAGCCTTTACATCTTTATAAAATTTTCTTAATCATCAAGCGAAAAAGCGAAGGATTTACCTATTTAAGATTAGTAGTGCAACTCTTATTATCATAATTAAATAAAAAGAAAAAGAAATTATTTTTTATTGTTAGTGAAATTTTTTATTTTATAAATAAATTAATGAGAGAATATATATTTTTAATATATTAAAAAATAAAAAATAAAATTTATTATTAATTTTTTAATTTTATTTATAACATTAAAATATTTTACTGATAATATATTAAAAACAAAATTTTTTAAAAAATTATCTCTGTCCTTATCAGTTTTTTTTAATCTAATGATTTGATGATTCTCATTTCAAAAATACGTTACTGATAAAAGAAAAAAAATTTTCAAATTTCAAAAAAAATCTTTTATTTTTTATATTAAGCTCGGTGCATGGAACCGTGACACGTACACCGTTCTCCCTCTCATTGCACCGACTAATGTGCCCACTGCCCACATGCCAATCTCTCTCTCTACCCTTTTCAAAACGGCAAAGCCCAACCCTTTCGCTCTCTCTCTCTCTCTTTCTTCCCCTATAAATCCCCCTCCACTTCCTCTTATTTTTTTAATTCACAAAAAGCCTCCCATTTTCCTCTCCCTTCCAAAACAACCAAAGCCCAGTTCTTGACCTCTCCTGTTTGATATCCCAACAATGGCAGCATCAAAATTCTCTTTTGCTTTAATCTTTGCTGTTCTCTCAATCTGGGCTGTTGATGCTGCCCACCACCATGCGTCGGCGCCAGCACCTTCTTCCTCTGTGGACTGCTCGTCTCTGATCTTGAACACGGCGGATTGTTTGTCGTTTGTGTCGAGTGGGAGTCAGGTGTCCAAGCCAGAAGGAACATGTTGTTCTGGCTTGAAAACTGTGCTCAGAGCAGACCCCGAGTGTTTGTGTGAGGCTTTTAAGAGCAGTGCTTCTCTGGGTGTTACACTGAATGTCACCAAGGCCTTGACTTTGCCCACTGTCTGCAAAGTCTCTTCTCCTTCTGCTACTACCTGCGCAAGTAAGTGACTTAGCTTTTCTTTGTTTTCCTTGCCTAAACTTTTTCTTTCTTTTTTCTTCCTTTCCACATGTTATGGTGGAAATTTTGATTAAATTTTTTTTTAAAGATTTTGTTTGGGAAGGGAATTTTCAATTGCATTGGGGTTTAAAGGGGTGTGTTTTGATACTTGTTTATGAAACAAGTTGTGGAATCTTCGCCAAAGCTGTAACCTTTCTGTGTGTTTGACTAATATGACTAATTGCCCATTGGTATCATTATCAAAATTTCGCTCCCATGCCTTTTGTTGTTGTAAATTTCCCTTCTAGATAAAGGGTAAATTTTACTTTTGTTTATTAGCAATGATTTTTTTTTTTTCATTTCCATTTGGAAAATAAATGAAGCTTCCTTTTCAGGCATTCATTCATAAAAATAACAAGGAAAAAAAGAAGGTGAAAAACAACAAATTTTGAGTTTTAAAATTGATGACTAATAAGCAATAATGTTGCTTTTCTTTTTTGGCAGTATCTCTCACTCCTGCTGGTGCGCCAGGTATGTTCTGATAAATCTAATCCTTATCTTGGCAGAGATACCTGGCTGTTGTTTCTCACTTTGTCTTTGTTTGAATTTTTTTAATGTCATTTGATCTTTTTCCTTTTTAATTTTAAAATAAATCTTTGTATAATAATCCCTTAAGAACTAAAAAATCAACCCTTTAATTGGATTTTTTCTAAAAAAAAAAGGGAAACAAAATTCTAACAGAAGGGGATCCAGTTTTCCTTCAGAACTCAAAACTGTCAACTCACACCTGTCAACTCCTTGATCCAACAAGCTTATTGTCTCAGGTCCTTTTTTTTTTTACCCTGCTTTTATTCTGCATTAACAACCTTGACTTTCATTTCCTTACCAAATTTGTAGGTGTGCAACCATCAACAACAGCAGGTGCGCCCACAACATTCTTGGGAGGAAATGAGGTAGCACCGGCACCAGCTCCTGGTAGCTCAGGCTCTCCAGTGCTTTCTGTTTCTATCGGATCTCTTGTAGTGGGCCTTATAATTATGTTAGTCTCTGGCTACTAAGTTAAAATTTTACTGATTATTTGAGCGGAGGTAGAGGTATCAATATGAGAGACCATTTTGATGTTATGATCAGTTCTTGGGGATTATCCCCTGGTGTTAATTAGTTTTCCTTTGTTTTGATGTGTGGCTGGAGTAGATAATATTCATTTTGTGGGTTACTTGAAACTCTGTTTGATCTTTGGACCATCCTCTTGATATATTAGTATTATATATAGTTGTCGTATTACTCTAATTTTCTATGCTGAATTGGGAGTGTTGAATAGTGGATGAGAACCTGGAAAGGCATTCACCATATACTTCTGTCATATGAACTCTTTGGGTGTTTAGAAGGCACTGCAGCCTCAGGATGTCACTTTCCATACGCGAGTTTCCTACAGGTCTTGCCTGCCTGTTTGTCTACGGCATGCGTGAACCTTCCATCGTAAGAAAAAAAAAAAAGGGCTTTGTTGGTTTTGGTCCGTTTGAACGTATTCTTACGTTGTGAAAAGATTGTCATTTCTCAACCTTTTGGCCAAAAATCAAGGGATATTGTGAGAAGTTGGCAGCCGAGAGAATACCCGTTTTACATTGAGAACGTCAATTGTTTATTCAATTTACGCCATTGATCGAGGCGGGTGCGGCTTATTGAAGTGACAAGAGGGCCTACTTCTTTGATGGGTTGGAATGGAAATGGAATTACTGTTCTAACCGACAGTGATTCGATACTGATCATCTCCTTAAACCGAAAAGTACCAGAGGAGAGTGGGACAGGCCTCTAAACGGTCTCAAACCAGTTTTTGAATTCTCATTAAGAACCACACAGTGGATCCCATTAATCATAATCACTTCAAGCCACATTAAACTGGCTTTTGGGATTTGGGTAACTCTCAATTTCTTTGACCAGAGTGAGGTTACTAACCTACTACTCTTTGTGATTTAATGTCCAAAATCTCCTCAAGTTTCAGTTTAATTTAATAGTTTCTGCTCACATGTTCAAAGCCTCAAAAATAACCTGTTCAGTGATGATCATCTGCTTTAAAGCTCTTCTGCCATTTCTTGATGCTCCTTTTAGAGATACTTGCATTTCTGTAATCTGGGTATATTATGATGGTCTATCAAAATAAAATCCACGTGATAATATTCTCATGATAGCTTGGATGCCACTTTTTAATTGTTCTGAGGTTTCAAGCTCAATCAAAGAGACTAATAAAAAATCCCCATTCGATGAGAATGAGATTCCAAACACATACACCTACACCAGATATATTATCCTAAAAGTAGAAAAATATCAGTGGTGTGACTCCGGAGCCCCATCAGTCCTTCGAAGGAAATGTTCATTCTACTAATAGTGATGTTTACCTTTGTTCTCTCTCAAAAAAAAAAAGAGAAATATGAAAATTCGTTCATCTGATCTTTTTTCCTTAAAAAACTTTCTTTTTCTTTAATCAAATGCACTTGAATATCCCAAAATTTTGGATTAGTTGGACAACATCATGGACAAATTATTTTACGGTTCTAATTCCATTTTGGGAGAACATGTTAGTACTGCATCTGCCACAGTGAGGTAGATCCTATCCTCCCCTATCATCTCTGGAAACTTTGAGGCATGGAGCTTGTCAACCACAACTGGCCCTGGATTTGCTAAAACAAGCTGCAGAAGAAGAATGCAAAAACCTGAGATAATACTCTCCATACATAATGCTACTATATGGTTGTGAAGGTTAAAACATGTGCCCTTCTTTTAATATCGTAAATTTTGCGTTCAAAGTTTGAGGTGTTTTTACTGTAGGTTACCTTGACATCCCTCTTCTCAAGACTTCTGAACAACTCTTCGAGGGCATGGATGCCACTAGTGTCAATGTCAGTAACAGCTGTAAGAATGTAAATTCATAAGAAAGAATTCTTTTGGCAAGCTTGATGACCAAAAAGAAAGAATGAGGAAAATTGAAGATAGCTTACGTGACATTTCAACAATCAAGTACTGAATTCTGCGTTGGGAATTTTCTTTCAGTTGTTCTTCTTCATCAGCCAGCCATCTCAAAATCCTGAAAGGAATTTAGATTTAGGCAATTAGCATGATTTATCTGAAATTTATTTTGGTGTTTTAGGTTCCTATAATAAGCTTCTAATCCAGTAGATACGCTGCAATTTCACTCAGTAAACGACTTGGATTTCTGGGACCTCGGCAAATATAAACTGCATTAAGACCCCCAATAGCTATATTTGAACATATTTATAACCATGTTTGTTCTTGAACCAAGTCCACTTTCTTTTAGTACTTGAATAAGCAAGAGGGAGATTCTAATGTGGAAAAGCTGTACCTTTCTTTTACATAGTTGGAGTTGGAAAAGTAAATTGCAGAATCAACTCTAACAATGAGGATGCCAGGAACTTTTGTTGCTTCTGGATATTGGAGGATGTTCCTGTAAACAGTCGTCCTTGGAAGCTTTCCAAGAATTGCTGTCCGAGGTCTTGTGACTTGTAAGAGGATTTTTGCAAATGATATTGAAACCTGTTGCAACAAGAATTAGATATCTAGTGGATATATGTGGCAAATCAACACTTAAAATATGTAAATAAACTCCTTAAATTCTCACCGCAATTAGGAGGCCTATCTCAACAGAAGAGAAAACTACTCCAAAGAAGGCTCCCATACAAGCAACAAAATCAAATTTATCGATCTTCCATATTAGAGTTACTGCTTCAATGTCAATTAAGCCAATCACTGCGGATATAATAATAGAAGCAAGAATTGCATTTGGAGTGTACTTGAACAGAGGAATGATAAGTTCCAATGTTACTAGCACAACACAGGACATCACTATATTAGACACAGCTGTATGGCATCCAGCCATGTAATTTACTGCTGAGCGAGAGAAGGAACCTGCATGAGCATTTGGATGATAAATATTAGAATGACTTATTTTATATTATAAAATGAAAAGAGGTAATGAATCACTGTGCATATATTAGACACAGCTGTATGGCATCCAGCCATGTAATTTACTGCTGAGCGAGAGAAGGAACCTGCATGAGCATTTGGATGATAAATATTAGAATGACTTATTTTATATTATAAAATGAAAAGAGGTAATGAATCACTGTGCATTCGCCTTTCTGTTTTCTCACCTGTAGCCACATAACAAGATGTCATTGAACCAACAATATTCATTGTTCCTAATGCTACCATTTCCTTGTTTCCATCCAGCTGGTAGTCCTTCATGGAAGCAAATGTTCTTCCAATTGCGACGGCTTCCTAAAGAGAAAATATTTGTCTTTAGATAAAGAATACTGTGACTAGAATCACCTTATGCTAAATCAAGAAATCAGCTGCTGAATTTGCATACCGTCAATGCTATCATGCCCGCTACAACACCTATCCTGAAACCTTTGCCAAGATATTCTCCAGAGAAAAATATTTCATTAACAGACGGTGGGTTGATGCCCTTTCTGATATGTTTCACCTAAAGATAACATTGTGAAAATGAATCTTCCATCATGTACCATGTACCAAAAAATAAATGAATCTTCATTACTTTTACTTTGAACAAGGTGAAGCTTGGATATACATACGATCTGAACACCATGCTTGTCAGCATGTGTTATGTACACAATAAAGGTGGAGAGTATGACAGAGATCAAGGGAGCAATTGCTGGCACCCAAAATAGTTTCTTGTTCTTTTTCACCTGCTCCATTTTATACATTATGATTAGATTACATGGAAAATTTTCTACATAGATGATGAAGGAAAGAATTTGATCTTACAATGTATTTTGCAGCCAAGAGGAAGGCCAGGAAGGACATTCCTATAAGTATAGTTTGCCAATTCCACTGTAAAACAGAGAAGACAGTAGGATTAGCCAAATTCAAACATGTTTCGTGCCACAAAACTAAAGAATCTCAAAAGTAAGATAATAATCACTTACGCCATGATGCACTGAACTCCACACTGAGCGCATGACAGAGACAATATCAGTATTCTTTGTGAACTTTTTGATTCCAAGTAGACTTTTAAGTTGTTGAAGGGCAATGGTGATAGCAGCACCCGCCATAAAGCCAACTATGGCAGCATGAGATAGAAAGTCTATCAAGAACCCCAACCTGAAAGCAATCACACCCACCATTAAGCATGATACATATACCCAGAGAAATTCCCCATAATGATTATATATTCAAAGGAGATTCATTATCTCTTTAAAAGCGATTGGCCATATACCTGAAAAATCCAAGTGTGACCTGAGTGATGCCAGCAAAGAATGTAGCAGTGAATGCAAGGCGTCGGTAGTCAACTGGATTATCAGATGAGTCAATCTCGTCCTGCAGGAGACTGCCAAGCAAGAGAGACACCACAGCCACCGGTCCAATAGCAATATCCCGCGAGCTTCCCATGAATGCATAAACAAGAGGTGGAACAAAGCTACTATCTGTGATGTAATTGAAATTAGGTTCCTCAAATCTGTAAGTATGATTCCCTCCCACCCAACCACCCCACCCGAAAAAATAAATTATTGGTGCCAAGACGCTTACATAATCCATATTGAGGCTCCATATTGGCAAGCTTTGCATACCCAATATCCTTGATTTAAAATTATGAAATATTAGAAACATAGCAAAAAATGGAAATTTCAACTACATTATCTCACAGATTGGGGATACCTGTGGAATGCAAAGACTTGCAATGGTAAGTCCAGCAATGAAGTCGCCTTTGAATTTAGAAAGACTATAGTGCCTTCCCCATTCTAAAATAGGAAAAACCGCTTGGAGGCCTAGCACAAACTTTCTTGACCTTGGTTGATCCTTAAAATGACGTAAAGGATCATCTGCAAAGAAAGTTTCCTTCACAGTGCCTGCAATTTCTTTCAGCAGGTTTTGCTTAGGAGGTACTCCCACTTTGTGAACGTATGGCAAATTCTCTGAATTGCGACGTGATGAAGAAACGTTAATAACATCCATCTCCTCGTGGCCAAGCCCATCAGTGACACGGTGACTCATTCTGTCTAGAGACTAGTTTATAACCTACATAATTTAATGAGATATCATAAGTAGACCTGTAAAGAAAACAATAGCATCCCGGAGCATAAAAATTCAAAAGTCAACTGAAATTGTTGGAAAACAATTATAAGTTATAAAATGTTTCTCTTTCTAAGAATAATCATATTGAACTCAAAGAGACGAAATGTATATGAAATCAAAAACCAAGTAAAGATACTAACCTAAAAGGTCAGTGCTGATCGACGCAAACTAATTTGAGACTGTAACAGTTAAAGAGAAGAGAGCCAAAGAAGATCAAAAGAGTGTTTGCATTGGAAAAAAGGGGGGACAGTTCCCATTTATATGAGTGCAATGAGCAATATTTGTCAACTATTTCATGTCAAAAAGACACTTCTCATCAGTTACAGAAAATGTATCTAGCTCTCATCTGTTCTACATTCTTAAGACCCGGCAAGTTGATTATAAATCAGGCTAAATTCCTTAAACAAAAGACACTTAGAATTGGTTTGGTATTGTTTGAAAGAGATCATCCATGTTGATTCATTAATTTCAATATCATAATAAACTATCCTTTGTTTAAGTGTTGACTTTAAGGCCTAGAGTCATATAGCCAACTTATTCTATATTTTCTTCCGCTACAAACAAGATTCACCCTTACTTTGAAGTAGTTCAAATTGTGAATTATTTACAGGATTTGTGGTGGATATTTAATTTCAGATTTGAATAAGCAAAAAGATTAGATGCAATTTCTATTCTCCGCGCTCTACCAACCGAAGTGTATTCCCCTTTTCCAGAACTTCATTATGCTGTGAAGCATATCTTTTATTAAGACACTTGTGCAGCAACTCGGTCAATTTTCTTTTTCCAGGAAAGCAAGGCTATTACAGTAAAGCAGTATAGTATACTTGTGAAAAACTCAAGAATGAAAGTGCTCAGTTTCAAGAAACAAACAGTTTCCTCAACAGGAGGAATAATCAAACAGGGAAAAAAAGTGTGAGTGGGATTTAGATTTTGCTTTCCAAAAGGCAATCATAAAACGAATATTCTAAAAACCAGAAATTAATTCAAATGATTCAGACATTTTTTAAATGGTAATATTTAACAATTTTGAAATTCAAATATTAATATTTACAGTCTCATCTTTTACATGCAGCGTCTTTTGTAAAAATTTATATTTTGTTATTATTAATTCAATAACCTTATGAGTTATGGCAATATGACCTCCTGGATACAACCGAAACTAACTTCAACCAAAAATAATAATAATAAAAAAAAGGTTACCCAGATTAAAAATTAAAAAAAAAAAAAAGCTTTTAACAGTTGGTATTTTCGGTTTTGATACGGTACTAAGAATAAAAAGTATTCCAGAAGATGGATCGATAACTCTTCCAACTCGGGCTTTATTAAAACAAACACTTTTCGTGAGCACCATCCATAGTGAATTCATCATGCCAAGTGCCAACCCGCACCCAAAGAAACCATCAATATAAAAGAAAAAATATATATATGAATGGGAAAGTCAAAGGAGAAATTGAGATTGAAGAGTTTAACAAGAAGAGTTTACTTACAAATTATAAAGCTTGCTTTTACGTGCTGGCGATGCGTCACGACATCATCATCATCATCATCATATCCAGCCTGCTCTCTGTATATGTTTAAAATTAATATATATTTCTTTTGCTGGAATTCAACGTTACATATATATAGACATTAATGTCTCAAAGGAATGATCATGAGACATTAGAAAGAGAGATTGAGGATGAAAGGATGTCTAGATTCATTGAATTTGAGAGAGAGAGAGAGTTGAATGGAATTAGAAAGAGAGATCGAAGATTAAAGGATGTCAAGATTCGTTGAACCTTAGAGAGATCAATAGAGAGTTGAATTTTTTTCCTTTTTTCTTATGTTTTTCGCTGATTGTTTTCCTTTTCCTTCGTGTTCGGAAGCAGAGAGATGTTTGTAGACTGTAGTTTCCATGAATATAACAAAACTGAATATAAACTCCTGGAAATGGAAATGAACAACAAAACTGAATATAAACTCGTGGAAATGGAAATGAACAACAAAACTAATTTTCTATTCAAGGAATTATTACAAAAGAAAAAAACGAAAAAAAAATAAGTAAATAAAACGCATATAGACCAAATTGAAAGGACAAGAATTTTGAATTGTTCAAAGTTGTAATCTCCCCTTAACAAAGTCATTATACATATATCCTAGGTGGAGTAAAACAAAAATGAGCAATTGAATCGACTACGAAATTTGGGGAATATTCCTCTTCTCCATTTCCATCGCACTGAATGTGCGTCGTTTTCGAACGTTGCCTATGGAATAAATCATTGCTTTCTTATTAAATGAGTTTGTTGGTTTGATTGGATTTCATTGACAAGCATTTTTTAATTAATTTTCTTTCTTTTTTTTTTTAAACACAAAATAAAAAATCAAGCAAAAAATTTCACAAAACCTTAAAAAATAGAAAAAAAAATCTAAATTTCAATTAAAAACAAGCTAAGAATAAAAACTAACAAAAATAAGATAAATTTTTTTATTAAATAAAAAGTAAAATGAAAAAGCTGATACAAAGTATAAACTTAATCAAAGATAATAAATATCAATCCGTTATTAATTTTGTGATAATAAATAATAAAATATATAAATATATTAATTAATTATATTTTAAATGTTATAATTGATTTTAATTTTTATGCCTATATATTATTTCAATAAATTATATAATTCATTAAAAATAATTTATTTATACTCTTATTTTATAATTTTAAAAAGAAATAAATAAAAGCATAAAAAGATTATACTTAATTAAATAAAATAAAATAAGATTAAATAATTCATTTAAAGTATTTACTTTTTTATATGTACTATATTTATTGTAAAAAAATTTATGGAAATTATCAAATATTAACAATGAAAATTTTTTTAATCCAATTAAGAAACTGACGCTTATTGTCTTTTTTTAATTAATTTTTTATTTTTAATATATTTTTTAAAGATATATGTCACTTTACTAATTCCATTTGTGTAGTCTAAAAATTTTGCTGTTATTATATTTGATAATTTCTTTTCATGCTTAACTTTATTTTTTAGTATAACTTTTTAATTATAGAGATTCATCTAACTTTTGAGTAGGCAAATACATATATTTATCACTAAATAAAATGTTTAAGTATTGATTTTATCTTTTATCTTATATTTCATTTTGTAAACTTTTAATAAATTTAGGCCATATTTGATGAATAAGATAACGGATATGATAGAATGATAACTATTTTATATCATATTTAATTTGTATTTAAAAAAATAGATAAAATTATAAGAAAGATTAATCATCCTCTTGACATGAGATGATTCAATCCTTTCAAAGTGAGAAAAATTATTTTTAATTTATAAGATAAAGCTTACACGTCATATTATATTTTTAAAAATTATATCAATAATTTAAATTATATAAACTTTAAAAAAAATAATTTTGATAATAAATAAATTTTTTTATATTAATTATTTCATATATCAAACACAAGATAAAATGAAATTATTTAATCTAATTTTATTCATAATATTATCTTATTTTATCTTATCATATTTTTTGTATATCAACATACCCTTAATTAATTATATCAACTAAAATATATAAAATACAAATATTTTAAAAATTAAAATGCATTTAAATAAAATAATTTAGTCTAACACAGAAACGCATGCAAAGTTTCTAATTATAATAGTTTATGGAGCGGAAAAATCTTATTTTTTTTTTTCAATTTTCCCATATACTTTAATCCTTAGATAGATATCCTTAGGCTTCAAGCATAGAATTATCACATGAACTGAGTAAAGAGTGGATGAGATTTAATTACAATCTTATTTTGGAATTTTATTAACTAAAAAATCGATAAACAAAAAAATTTTATAGTTAATAATAAAGCAAATTATATTCTTTAAATAACCATGATTTATATCCAATTAAAGCAACACCATGTGTAGTGCATGATATATTATGGGCAGATTCACAGGTAAATATTAGGTTGTCCATGAATATTAAAATAAAAAAATTTTCCTTGACACCTTAAAAATTTTTTTAAAACCTTATCATATCTATAAATTTAATAAATTTATCAATAAATATCTAAAAAAATTTTAGAACCATCGCTAATAGTATATAATTTAAAGGGAAGACTAATTAATATTTGGCACATAATAATATCAAGTGTCAAACGATGGGACATCCCCATCGACAATTCTCACATACTCCAAAGACCATACCTACTAGATCCATCCCTCTTTTATTTTGGGCGAGGACTGAGGACCACTAAAATTAAAGATTTACCCAATTCTGAGATAAAGCCAACGTCTGAGATTTCTCTTTGCAACTTTGGTACTTTGTCACTTCTTTTCCCTTTCCGAGTAAAAGGCTCAGAGGCTCTCCCGGTTTCAACATGGCCAGAACTCTGCCTTTTTCACCTTTGAAATACTCTCCAGGACTCCCACTGGCGATACGTGCCCCATCACCGTCACCCTTTTGCTCTCAAGGTCTATACTGAATGATGTAACGCCTGGTTTTTCAGAACAGGAAAAAATATATTAAACTTTGCAGTGGCCAATTTTGGTTCAAGTCAAATACTTTGTATTTGTTGTTTAGCAAGGCAGTAGAGATCCTATCTAAAGCAAAAATGAATAGTTGTTGGGCAAATCAGGGAAACTCATGTGTTGGACTGACTTAATCCATGTGAAAACAATAGCCTCAGCTTGATGGTGTGGCTCTTGCACCAGAAGTGGTGGACATTTAATGCCCCCCATTTGCTTGGTTGGTGCAACTTGCAACTTGAAACAAGCTGAAAATGATATGACAAAAGGTAGAAAGGTCGGTCCTTGACTCTTTTATACTGAGATTGGTTTCCTCAAAAAACTTAACCTCAAAATTGGGTGAAAATATTTTTTCCAAAGTTATTAGAAAAACATCAAAAGGTGTCATATGTTGAGTTCATACTTGTATGATAATCGAAATTTAAGCAAGCATTGGATTCGCCAAACAAATGGATACTATGATACCTTCCATTTTGGATAAATGTTTCTTCACTTTACCAGCACAACCTTGACAATGAAGAGAGACCCGCATGACAACCACCTGCAATTACTCATTTACAAGAGAACAGGACTATGTCACACATGGAAGTAGTTGTCAAATAATGGCATAGGTCTTCTAGTTGCAGGCATATGCATGCATGCTGTCGTTTTCTCAAATCCTGGCTTAAGTAGAATCTTCATATTCTGACTGATACTAGAACAGGGCATTGATATTAAGTTTTTTCGTAGTGAAGATGATGTGTATAGTTGTTTAAGTAGAAGAGACCATGATAAATGTCATCAATTAACAAAGTTGCAAGCGGAATAGACCCTTCTTTTTTTTTTTTTTTGAGTGAGGAGATGAATAGGGTAAAAACAGGTTACATATACGTATGGATAAGGTACTGAAGAATATAATAGTGGCGTAATCGAAGTCTGACCTGGAAATCTGATGAAGCTAGTTGAACTGGTTTCTTAAGGGGCTTTGGCTTCTGTTCTTGATTTTGTTCCCTTCTGATAAAGGGAGTGACAATTCGTCTCTTGTCTCCTCCAACAAATCGTGGAGACTCAGCAAGCCTAGAGTACTTGGCATTGTTGATTAATCTTGTTTCATCTATAAGGATTCTGTCTAGCCTTCTTGGCATCACAGCCGAGCGAGGATCAGCTGCCATGCACGCTGCATTTACTGCTGTGGACTGGCACATAAAACCTCTCATCTTACCATTCTTCATCTTTCAAACAACGAGAGAAGCGGACCGTGGAGGATCAAGCTTTCAAGATAAGGAATATGGTAACCTAAGAAGAGAGCTATTGGGCTGATGAAATAAACTAGGCTCTGATCTGATGATCAGTAAAAATGTGAGAAGTGTAAATAAGGAAGGAAATACAAACTCGCAATTTAACTCATCACCTAAATCATTTCTTTTGTCTTCAGACTGCAACTTCTCTTGTAAAAAAAAAAATGCATGCGACATTTATGACTTAGCTAACGAGATGTTGAAGGCAGTGACAGTTTTATTTGCATTGTTACACCCCCACTGTTAATGGTTTCACCTTCCCATCTTTGTCCCTGGTTAATGTTGAAAAGCGACTGATTTCTTCCAGGATAAAATGACCCTCGGATGACTGAAAGATACTTTCAAATTGTTTGGTATACCATAAATGGTAGGTAGTATACAAATAAAAATTGATTATGATTGAAAGGAAAATCCTGAGAAATTATTGGCGGAATTACATCATTGATGAGTAAATTTTGATCCCATTGAAGAAAATGCAATAGTTTTTCTCTCCCAAAAAAATTAAAGAAAAAATATATGTTTAATTATGATATTGTCGGCCCAATTATTGTGTGGAAGCCAAGAATGACCAGGTAGCCGTTTCCGTTTCTAACCACCTAGTATAACATGCTGAGAAACAAGGATAATTTGAGTATGGAAAAGATTAGTGAGTGATACACGTGTTTTAATTATTTTTTGCAGGGTTAAATGTGTTAAGACAAAAGAACCAAATTGTTGGGCAATAATGGTGGAAAAAGAAGAACAGAGAAATAAGAGGGAAATTTCAGTTAAAAGTGGCAGAAGGGGTACAATAAATAAATTTACCAAAGCAAGACTCCCACTTATACAAACTTTTCAGACCTGTTTCTCCTGTCAGTCTCTCTTTCTCTCTCTCTGGTGTTGCTGCCCTGTCCATCTGTCTTGTGTGTCGCATATGAGCATGGTTTTAAATTCTTGAAATTGACCTGCCAAACTGCCAATGCCAGTGTTTCTCAAAGCAAAAGCCTGTGTAAATGTCTCAATCTACCATGATGAAGTAGTAAAAGGCAAAAAAATTTATGTGTCCATCTTGCAGCAATATGATTTTGGTTTGTTTGCATTGCACCACTATAAAGTACTAGGACTACCATTTTTCATTCAATTTAAATTGGGTAGCTAAATGAACTATCAAACTAATCGAAGAGGAATGTCTCGTGCTAGTCTATACCAGGCAACATTCTTACAATCTCCAAACAATTCACTAAAAGGTTTTAGTGTCACTTCCTGAAACAATGCTGGGGTGGTGGCGCAGTTGGCTAGCGCGTAGGTCTCATAGCTTTTAGAGTGATCCTGAGGTCGAGAGTTCGAGCCTCTCTCACCCCATGTTTTGTGATAGATACTCGATGTGCATTTTCATTCTCTAAATAAATATGAGAGAATGGTAGATATGCAGACAAATGGGCACGCTTTATGTAACGATGAGCCCATGAATATTTTGTCTAACCACTTTATCAATTATTTTTTATTTTTTTATAAGAGAAATTTGATGTAGATAAATTACTTAATATTTAAATTATGATAAGATATATCATATTTGATAATCTAAAATAAATGATTATAGATTATACATTTAAAATAATTTAAATAAATAATCATCATTAAAATTTAAATCTAAAATTTTTTTTATCAAAAAAAATAAATTTAATCTATTGAACTAATTAATTATTTATATTTTTATCAATTATCACCGTACCCATTATGCTGAAAAAAAAAAATTATAACCATACGGAATGCCATGTGAAAATGTGTCCCTCATCCACTCTCTTTGCCCGTCTTAAATTCCCTCGTCCCCAACGCTTCCATGCTTCCTTCCTTCCTACCCAAATGGATCACTCTCCCAAAATTGTCAGAAACAGGGACCCCCCCACCCTTTGCCTCTGTGGCCTTGGCCTCGCCCATTCTATCATTGAGCCAATCCCATTTACGTGTAAAATACAACGAATTTATTGTGGTTTTTTCTTATACCATGGCAATATTAAAATTTTTATTCTTTGATAAGGATACTTTTAATTTTATTTCTCTAGATGAGTTCTTCATGCCATGTCATCATTTTATTAATTTTTTACCTCTTCATTGTCAATGTTTCTCATCTTTTCACATATCAGTTTGAGAATTCTATAGCTTTTGACATCTTCCGACATACATACTAAATAACCTCTGAGAATTCTGAACTTTCTTCTCGCACAAATGCTTCACTTCTTGTTGGTAGGCCGACCAAAATTACCGATAAGCAATTGGACTATGTAAATTCTGTCTCCTCCCTCTTCTGTTTCCATCTTGAATAGCAGATAGGCAATTCAGACTTTTGATTGGTGAAAAAAAAAAAAGCAACGAAAATTATTTATTCACAAAGCATCTTCCATTTCATTTGTTATTTTATAATCTTATACACATTATTTTATTCCTCTCAATCAAAATTCAACATAAAAAAACACCTCTAGTGTTTTCTTAGCCAAGAATTGCAGTTGGTGAACTTGTTGATAAGAATTGTTGGTGTCTGAGTTCTAAATTAAGAGAAAAAATCCTACAATCACAAAAAAAAAAAATGATTAAAGGTAAAACTAAGAATATTTTTTATGTTTACATTCCGATATTCAAATCAGAAATGATATAAAAAATTTTCAAAGGAAAAAAATTAATAATAAAAATATCTTAAACAGTGATGGCTGCCAGATATGAGTTTCTCTTTAGCCTTTGCATTTGCTGTTTATTTTGTTCCAGAGGATAATAATTACCAAATAAATTAAAAAAGGGTGTTATAGTTGATGCTATGTTATGAACCAACCTTTCACTAATCGAAAACAACGCACAACTTTGAATACAGCTTCACATTCATGAAACTGAGTACACCTGCTAAAAGCTGAACAGGAATTTCGCTTGATTTGGTTTGTTACTATATGAAAATAGTGTGATTTTATTTATTAAGTGGGTTCTACTCGCAATGTGTTCAGCAATTTGAGGCCTGGGGTTGTGAACTTATTCTGACAGAGTGACAACATGGTTGCAGGTAAACAGTTTAAGAGAACTTGGAAGACTTTATGATGAGATTGGTCAGTCAGCTGATGGCTGTCGATTGGATCGCTAAGCAGTTCTTGAGAAGACTGTTAGGTAGATAGATGTTCTGTTTTATTACTCCCACGTTTAGACCCTTGTTTTCAAATTTTGTTTATATATGTATAGATTGCATTCATACTGCTTGTCTTAAATAGAATTTAGTTTCAACATTTTTTTTTTATTGTTTTATTATACTTATAAAATACGTTTTTATTATTCTTTGCTCCTACGGTTATTCTGAATGATTTAAAGTTTTTTTTTTGTTTAAGGTTAAAATTTGACAATCGAGAAAAATTTTGATGTGTCATAAAATCCCTTATTATGGAAAATAATAGATTTAATTTTATTTAACATTGAAAAACTCGAAATTTATTTATTCTACAATGGTTGCAAATTGGAATAATGCTAATTTGGAACGACATCATAATTATCAAAATTGTTTTTTCATATATGACTGTTCACATATACATAATTTGGGCCAACCAGGTTAGGGACGGCAATGAAGCCCGTCCCCGACGGGTTTTGGTCTGACCCGACCCTATAGGGTCGGGTTTTTTTTTTTTTTAAATTTTGGGTTTCAGTTCGAGATCGAATCGGATAAAATTAAGTAACAATCGGAGTCGGATCGGGTTCGGATATATCTAAAACTCAATCTTACTCGACCCGATATTATTAAAAAATTATTTTTTAATTAATTAATTAATTATATATATTTATATAATGATATTTTAAAATATTTATATTTAAAAAATAATATTTTATATTTTAAAAAATAATATTTTATTAATTTCGAATCGGATCGAATCGGATACGATTTACATATTATCAGATCGGTTCGGATTCGGATATTAAAAAATTCGAGTCGAGTCGGGATCAGATTTGATAAAGCATAAAATCAAGTTGGGTTCGAGGCGAAAAAAATCCATCCCGAACCCAACCCGATGACATCCTTAAACCAAGTGACTGAAGTTTGGTTCTAAAACCTCAAAAAAAAAAAATTGTTTTATGTAATCTTTAATGGCAAACACTTGTGCTTTAAAAGTCCAGCTCTAATCCTTCACCTAATTCGTTGTACTCATGAATTAAGAAGTAAACAACCAACGGCAGGGGTCAACACTCAAAATAAATAACTTTAATTATTTAAAGTTAGTTTGGTTAGTTTGTTTATAAAAAATAAAAAAAAAATTGAGACTTCGAGGGTGAAATAAGAAATTATAAATATTGAAATTTGAATATAAAATTTATTAAATATTATTTTTTAAAAGAATTATATAAATTAATTTAATTTTAAATAGTTCAAACTTCAACACAAATTGCGGTTTTTTAAACGATCTCCAACAATCTTTAAAAGGAAAAAATAAAATAGATTAAAATAAACAAATTAAGTAAAATAATTTTAAAATTAGAAATATGTATTTTATTTTTAATAAATCAGAAGACCTGGACTGGAGTCAACACTTGAGGACTAAGAAGAGTTGGTTTTTTGGGTCCCAAAGGACCGTGTTTGAGGGAATATATTAAAGTTATTTTACTTGCTTAAACAAATTATTTTGATAAATAATAAAGATTCTTCCAAAAGAAATAAAAATGACAAAAAGACAAGTGAAGGGAAGTTAAATTTCAAAAAAGCTAATATCACGAATAATTATAAAAATTTTAATATGATTTTAAATTTTAAATTAATTTAATTAATATAATATTTATAAAATTATTTATTTATCATGTATTTTTTATTTAAAATTAATTATTTTATAAAAATAAATATCATATTAATTAATAAATTTACATTTCATATATTACATTAAATATTTTTAAAATTTAGATATTACGTGAAACATTTTAATATAGTTCAAAGACTATATGTAACGTTAATTCAATTTTAAAGTTTGCTTCTATTAACAATATTAGTAATTGATAAATATGATCACATATGATTATAGATGATAAATCCACTTATACTAATGTAAATCTTTTTTTTTTTTTACATTTAGATTAAAATAGTTACGATTAAAAATATTATTTTAATTCAAATTAATTTTAAATTTAATTTTAATCGAAGAGTAAAAAGGTGTAAAACTTATATTAATATAAAAGAAACTCTACTTATGATTATATATGAATTTATAATTTAACTTAATTAATTTATATAATTATTTTAAAAAAATTACATTTAATAAATTTAGAGTTTATATTCTAACACCTCAATTTCTTTTTTTATCTTTAAATTGTCACTTCTTTTGTAAAATATATATAATTAATCATATATACTACATTCAATAAGTGATTTTTTGTTAAAAAATAAAAAAATATCTTTGCACAACAAATATATCATATTCTCTTCCTTTTCAACCATAGAATGATTTGATAAAATATATAAATATTTGCATATATAAATAAAAATTCTTGTTTGATGTTTTTATAAAGATTATTCGATTGTTTTATTGTAACAAAATTTTGTTAATTTGGATAAATGAAATTATAACTTATACAAAAAAAGTTAATTCACATTCGTCAAAAAAAAAAAAAAACTTTATTGGTTAAACTACTTCAATAGAATGCTGGCCAAAAAAAAATCTACTTAATGAGCTGTTCCATAATTCTATTTACATTTAAAAATCAGTATGCAATTTTTTTTTTAATGCAAAAGAATAAGGGATCCCACTTACAAAAAATTTTAGGCCCAATTAACCAAAAAATCATTACAAAAATTAGCCTTTTTAAAAATATGTCTAACCATAATATCTCAATCCCTACAAAATAATTGTTGAAACTAATTCATTACATGATATAAAAAAATTTTATTGTGCAAAGTACGAGTATTTTTTTTCACTGCCAACAGCAATTTCTTTACTTTATCTAATTAAATTCTATGTTGATTTCGAATTACGAAATAAAAATGAATAATAAAACAATAAAAATACTATAAACATTTGGTTAAGTCAAAAAAGTATAGAGTTGATAACGGATCGAATCGGAACGAGTTTTTACTAATTTTGAATTTGATCCGATTTTATATTCATCAAATTTGACCTGATTTTACTCAAATTTTTTTTTTTATTTTTTCATACTTGAACTTGACCTAATTCGGTACTATATAAATTGTATCTTGCTCGACTTGATCCGAAATTAATAAAATATTATTTTTAAAAAATAAATATTTAAATATATAATTATATAAATATAAATATATATAAATAAAAAATTAAATAATTAATTAAAAAATAATTTTTATATAATATATGATTGGGTGAGATTGAGTTTATCTAAAACTTGAATCCAATCTTATCATAATTTTCTTTTTTAGCCTTATCCGATCCAATATGAGTTGAAATCTAAAAGAAATTATATAATGTGGTAAAGAACTTTTAAGTTTGTTTTCTAAATAGAAATTAGTTTATTCTTAAGGAATGATTAACTATGATAAAAAAGACACGATTTTAAAAGGTTTTTTTTTATTTTTATTTTTGTTGTAAAGATAGGAGAAATAGTGACAATGAGAAGAAAAAAAAAAAAGATGATGTGTCGTAAAATACCTTTATTAGAAAAATAAAATTAAAAATACTCTTATTAAGAAATAAAGATTTTATTTTATTTATTAAAATAGGAAAAAACTCGAATTTATTGGGCTATTCTACCCCAATGGTCAAGGCAAAATGAAATAAAGTTGCTAATTGCTCGAAAGACATATAATTATCAAAGTTTTTTTTTTCATATATGACTGTTCACATATGCATAATTTGGGTCAACCCAGTGACTGAAGTTTGGTTCTAAAAGCCACAAAAAACTATTTTTTTAAAACTTTGCTCCTTTTATGTAATCTTTAATGGCAGACACTTGTGCTTTAAAGTCCAGCTCTAAACCTTCAAACCCATCAAAAAGTGGGCCTAATTTGTTGTACTCATGGACAAAGAAGTAAACAACCAACAGCAGGCGTCAACACTCAAAATAAAATAACTTTAATTATTTCAAGTTACTTTGGTTAGTTTATTTATAAAAAAAAAAATTATAGTTTGAGACTTTAAGGATAAAATAAAAAATTATAAATGTTGAGATTTGAATATAAAATTTATTAAATATTATTTTTAAAATAATTATATAAATTAATTAAGTTTTGGTTAATTTAATTTTAATTAGTTCAAATTTCAACCCAAATTGCAGTTTTGTAGACGATCTCCAACATTCTTTAAATGGAAAAAATAAAAATAGATTAAAATATAAAAATTAACTAAAATAATTTTAAAAATAGAAATATATATTTTTTAATAAATCAGAAGACCTGGTCTGAAGTAACACTTTGAGGACCAAAGAGTTGGTTTTTTGGGTCCCAAAGTGCCGTGTTTGGGAGAGAGGACCGGCTTTTCTTTCTTTTTTTATTTTTATTTTTTTGACTTGGTGTGAGGGAATGTAATAAAGTTGCTACTTTACTTGCTTAAAGATATTATTTTGATAAATAATAAAGATTCTTACGAAAGAAATTATAATGACAAAAAGACAAGTGAAGGAAAGCTAAATTTTAAAAAAGTAATGTCACAAATTATTTTTAAATTATAAAAAATTTTAATGTGAAATTAATTATGTTAAAAATAAATATCATATTAATTAATAAATTCATAATTTATGTGTTACATTAAATTTTTTTTTAAATTTAAATATCATATTAAATATTTTAATATAGTTAAAAGATTATTTATAACGTTAATCCAATTTTAAAGTTTGCTTTTTTTTTTAAACAATATTAGTAGTTGATAAATATGATCACATATGATTATAAATGAGAAATTCACTTATATTAGTGTAAGTCTTATTTTTTTATGTTTAAAAAAATAATTAAAATTAAAAATATTATTTTGATTCAAATTAATTTTAAATTTAATTTTGATAAAAAAAATAAAAAAATATAAAATTTATACTAATGTAAAAGAATTTTTACTCATAATAATATATAAATTTGTAATTTAATTTAATTGATTTATTCAATTATTTTTAAAAAATTACATTTAATAGATTTGAAGTTTATATCCTAACACCTTAATCTTTTTTTTTTATCTTTAAATTGTCACTTCTTTTGTAAAATATATATATATATATATAATTAATCATATATACTGCATTCAATAAGTGTTTTTTTTTTGTTAAAAAATAAAAATATCGTTGCACAACAAATATTTCATATTCTCTTCCTTTTTTAACCCTCGAATGAATTGATAAAATATATAAATATATGCATATATAAATAAAAATTCTTGTTTGATGCTTTTATAAAGATTATTGGATTGTTTTATTGTAACAAAATTTTGTTAATTTGGATAAATGAAATTATAACTTATAAAAAAAGTTATTTCACAATCGTCAAAAAAAAAAAAATTTATTGGTTAAACTACTTTAATAGAATGCTGGCCAAAAAAAAAAAACAATCTACTTAATGAGCTGTTCCATAATTCTATTTACATTTAAAAATTAATATGTAAATTTTTTTTTAATGCAAAAGAATAAGAGATCCCACTTACAAAAGATTTTAGGCCCAATTAACCAAAAAATCATTACAAAAATAAAAATGAATAATAAAACAATTAAAATACTATAACATTTGGTTAAATCAAAAGAGTATAATTCGCATAATTTTTTTTATTTTCAAATAAAAAAAACAAAAAAAGATAAATATGGTTAAGCCAAAAAATAAAGAGGACGGTAAGTTGTTTTGTTTTTTTCTTTTTTAAATATCGCCAGCAATTTTAATTTTTTTATATAAAAATTATAATCTAAAAATAAAATTTTAAATAATTAAATAATTAAATTTATTAAAAATCATCTTTTAAAACAATTATATACATTAATTAAATTAAATCTTAAAAATAAATGTTTAAATATACGCAGTCAGCACCGACAATAGCTTAACTGACGTTTAGAAGCTGATGCGGCTGGTACGCAATAATATATTATATAAAAGTAAAATAAAAAACAATTACAAAATTCAAAAATTAAAGTTTTCAAAAAATAATAATAAAAAAGGAAAAGATATTATAAAAGAATCAGAATCATAAAACAAAAATACAAAGAAAAGAACATATAGGCTGTTCACGCTGTACCCACGAAGCTTTGTCTCTGTTCAAAAAGTTAATTACGAATGGATTGCGTGAAAACCTCATGCGAATCGTCTTCTCGGTCTCCTCCTCTTTCCTTGAAGATTAAGGTTTTCCTTTTCCCTTCTTTTCTCTGTTTCAATTCCTTTCTTTTTTTTTTAAAGAAATAATTTGCTCTTTTAGCTTTGTTTTCTGGGAGTCAACTTTTTATGAATTTGAAGCCGTTTTATTGGAAAGTTTGTTCCTTGGAAAAGAACAGAGCGGTCGGTTCAAAATAATGGCTGTGATTCTTTCATTTATTCTTCAATTTGTTTAATGGGTGTTCAATTGATTGCAGGTATATGTTGTACTTAATTCAGTCATTTTTTTCTCTTCTTTTAGATGACTGTCTTGTTCCTTATTAATTGAGAATTTATGTGATGAACCCTTGTTGAATTGCTGTAATTGGGAATTTGGGGATTTAGGTTTTTTTTTTTTTTTCTCTCTTTTTCTTGCTGGGTGAAGAGTGATAAAAATATAGAGCTTTTTATTTTTACTTTGTCTGCTTGCTGAGAAAAATTAAAGATACATGATGATGTAAATTTTTTAATATTTTCTTTACTGTTATTCTGATCTTGGTGAACTTATAGGGAGAAAGATGTTTTGATCTATTGATTTACAATGGAAAACTTACAAAAGATTAAACCTGCCTATTTCTTGATGAATATTTGTTCTGGCACTTTTACCTGAGTTCTTGAAATATTGGGTCTAATCAGCTTTATTTGGGTAAATTAAGAAAGGAGTATACTTTTTGACAGTCTCGCAGAACTCTTAAGCTATCGTCATGTTCTTTGGTTCTCCATGTTGAATACGTAATCAAAGTTTTTTAAAGAGGGTCTTTAATTATTCTTCTCTGGTTCACTGTTGTTGCACTTCCAATCTTTGCTTTCTGATGAGGGTGCATGACACCGGTGGTAAATGAGGTGGTGAACTGGTGATTGCATAAGATGTATTGGGAGAGAGTGAAAGCAGACCATCTTTATTGTGATATACTAAGCTGAGAAATTCTTGCTGCTGTTGTTTAAATTTAAGAATGAACTAATCTAACTGGGAATAATACTATTTCATTTCTCAGCTTTATAGTGAAGGAGGAATCTCTTTTTGCTCATTTCTTTTCTTAGTAAACTTTCCAATTGCACATAATGCATTCGGTTACTTTTCTCCTTGTACAATTTGCAAAGGGGATGGTATCTCCCTTTCTTTAGAGCTTCCCATTCTTTAGATGATAGTTAAATGCTTATTTTTTCAAATTGGTATATCAGATTATGTGTTGATGATCTTCCTTCAAATAAGTTCTGAAACTAAATTAAATTGCCCTTAGTGCATGCTGTTGGCCTTTTAATTCAACTCTGATGTCTTCCATTTTACTCTGCTTTTCTTTTCTTACCTCAGATCCAAGATAGAGTCCTGACGGTTTTGAGCAGGTTCATGTAGAAAGTTGGATATTATAGTGTTGATTAAAATCTCTAGTTGTCAAAGGTTGGATATTTCTGGCATTGATATATTATTAATTGCAGTCAGTAAGATATTGATGGGGGCATTCTTAAGTCTAAATAGTTCCAGGGCTGGAATGAGTGAGCCCTTAGAGGTTTCACAAAATGAAACATGCAAGAGGCAGAAGTTATCATCATGTTTTTGTGAGGAGAACCCAAGATTGATTCCCAGCCTTCCTGATGAGATATCCTATCAGATTCTGGCCAGAATTCCAAGGATTAATTACTTGAATGTGAGGCTAGTGTCTCGAGCCTGGAAAGCTGCCATCATGAGTACTGAATTATTCAATATAAGGAAGGAACTTGGAACAATAGAGGAATGGCTCTATATATTGACTAAGGTTGAACGTGACAAGCTTTTGTGGTATGCTTTGGACCCTTTGTCAAGAAGATGGCAGAGGTTGCCTCCAATGCCCAATGTTGCTTTTGAAGATGAATCCAGGAAAGGTTTAGCTAGCTTTCGGTGGAATGTGGTCGGCTCGAGCATAAAAATTGCAGATGTCATAAGGGGTTGGCTTGGGAAGAAGGATGCATTGGACAGAATGCCATTCTGTGGTTGTGCCATTGGTGCTGTTGACGGGTGTCTCTACGTGATAGGAGGATTCTCTAGAGCTTCAGCCCTGAGATGCGTTTGGCAGTATAATCCGGTTCTAAATTCGTGGAGTGAAGTAAGTTCAATGTCAACTGGTAGAGCCTATTGTAAGACTGGCATCATAAATGATAAACTATATGTTGTTGGAGGAGTCACTGGGGGTCGCGGTGGATTAACTCCTCTTCAGTCTGCTGAAGTATTTGATCCTCATACTGGTATATGGTCCCAAATACCAAGCATGCCATTTTCAAAAGCTCAGGTTCTACCTACTGCCTTTCTGGCTGATCTACTCAAACCCATTGCCACAGGAATGACATCATATAGGGGAAGGTTATTTGTGCCTCAGAGTTTATATTGCTGGCCATTTTTTGTCGACATTGGAGGTGAGGTATATGATCCAGAGGTAAATTCATGGGTTGAAATGCCAGTGGGCATGGGTGATGGTTGGCCTGCAAGACAGGCAGGAAGCAAATTGAGTGTCACTGTGGATGGTGAGTTGTATGCACTCGATCCATCCAGCTCTCTTGCAGGTGCTAGGATCAAGGTGTATGATTACCAAGATGATGCTTGGAAAGTTGTAGTAGAAGAGGTCCCCATTCCTGACTTTACTGATTTAGAGTCTCCCTATTTGCTTGCTGGTTTACTAGGAAAGCTTCATGTGATTATTAAGGATGCCAACAACAATATCTCAATCCGGCAGACTGCTGTGCAAAACCATCTTACGTCCCTACCATCAGCTACATCATCTCCATCAGACAAGTCCTCTGGTGTGCATGCTGAGTCTGCAGAATCTGCAACAGCATTTGAAACAGATCTTTGGAGGGTTATTGCCACAAGGATGGTTGGATCATCTGAACTAGTAAGTTGTCAGACCCTAAATATCTAGTGCCATCATCAGGGTGCTTAGAGATCCGAGTTGGCATTAACTTTCCAAATATTGGTTGATGTATTATTGTGTTTCTGTTGCCCTTATGTGTTTTACCCGAAAGATTGATTTTGCAAGTGGCATGATGAAATTATGATTTATATAAGTTGTAACCTCTCTCTCATACCCTTGTATAAAGTAAAGAAATTAAATTCTCTTAAGCTGGAAAGCAGGATAGGTCAAATTATCTTCGTCTTTGTGTTATTACTAGATTTCATGAATTGCTTCTTTTCTAATTTCCAGTGACGGTACAGTATCTCCATGTGATCATTGCTTCTTTTCATGAATTGCTGCATGTTTAGCCACTTTTGGGAGTTCGAAATTGTGCATGCGCCTGTATTTAAGCTCAGTTTATGCAACACATTGAAAAAAAAAAAAAACCAGATCATGAATATACGATCCTCAAGAACAGCTTAAGTTACAACATGATGCCTACAATGATAACAGAGAGGATGACAAGAAAAGTTTTAGCTAAGCAATACTTAACACTTGAAGATCAGTCCATAGGACAAATCCAATTTGATAGCAGTGAACTTGCTACCAGGTTATTATTTACATACAACTTCACTCTATATTCCAGACAGAGTTAAAAAGGGTTTTTTCCTTGGAGAAAAGTTTTTCCAGCCTCCATGATGCTTCTATGATGCGGTCTCTTTGCCCAAAAGCACTGATTCTGATGTACTCTGCACCACCAGGACCAAAACCAGATCCTGGTACTGTTATTATATGAGTCTTCTCAAGAATTTCTGAGAATACGCTCCATGATTTAGAACCGGGAAAATGCACCCAAACATATGGGGCATTAACGCCTCCATAAACATTTAGACCGAGAGAGGCAAAAGTGTCTACTAATATGTTCGCATTCTCCTTGTAGTAGTCGATCACTGAGCGGATAGCCTGAGAATTTTCCAAAAGACAAATTCAACGGTCCTGGTCCTCTAGAATACTCAATATTTGAGCAGTTGAATAAGTACCATATCACAGAGTAGACTTGTATTTTGATAGACTTAACATGCCAAAATAATATTCTCTCACATACTTTTGTTTCCTCTACAGAGGTTTGGCTCAAATCTAGCAACTGTTTACCTTCCCCACATGCACGAATTGTAAGTATAAAGGATGATAATGAACTGTTTCATATGATTTTCTCTACCTCTGTTTGGTTTGAATTAGCGTTTTTCCCAAGCAACCCCTCGCAATTCCACAATTCATAGAATGATGATCAGTCAACTCCAACAAGGAAACTTTCCCATAAGAATATTTCAGTCAAACAACGTATTGAGCTAACTGAAAACACTCCCATTGGACTTGACCTTATGAAAACACTACAAGCTGGCCCTTACGATTTGTGAACTTCCTTAAACGGTTTAAGTAACTGCTATAATTGCGTTATATTGTGGAAGATCGTGATGTGACAAATGCGGTCAAGTGGATCCATTACTATCATGAAACATGCCTATGCACACAAGCAAAATACCCGGTACACCCTCCTAATGCACATTTGAGGTCAAAGCTGAACGTTTGCCATTTGTAAAGCTTTCTTGTACTAACTTTTAGTATTTACACTTACCTGGAAACCTTCTGAAGAAAGGCATGCTAGTCCACCAGCCTGGGCTATGTTGGATGCTCCATTGAAGCATGTGCATACAATGCGATTGAAGTCATTTATGACAGGAAAACCACTTGAAAACAAGAGTTCTTCAGGGACCACCGTCCAACCAAGACGAACTCCCGTGAAGCCAGCAAATTTGGAGAATGAAGAAATTTCAATTGCAACCTGAGGAAAATATTTTCTCTTTTCAGCATAACGACATAGGATAGCTCCAAGCTATGTAAATTGATGTGCTATGCTACATGAAGCAAATTAAAATACCATATTTATTATAGGAGCCATCTCTCTCTCTTGCTATATCTATGCATCTCAGGGAGCATGGAAGAATGAATTTAAAATTCACTCCTCCATCCAGGTATTTCAAATTTATTATTTTATATCCAACAAATCAACGGATTTACTATATAACCATGAAATTCATGTTCTCGTGAAACTCTATCACAATTATACTTTTGAAAATCCAAATCCTCTTCAAAATCGTGACAATCAGTTTGTGAAAGCTGCCATAAGTCAGGTGTACTTAACAGCCCCAAAATGAAGGGATTCTGCTTCAAAACATTTTATCATTTCCCATCTACCATTCCTATGTATTGATCATTGGCCAAAGCCTTGAAGTTATGGTAGTCAAAAAATGTTGTCTGGTCTCCACCATTTAGTTCCAATTCATTAAAGCATAATCTATCGAAAGGCAAAAGAGCAAAATGACATTGTTTACCTCTCGATTACACTACCGTTACAATCGTACTTACAGGCACAGCAGATGAAACAGGAATTTTTCTTAGCTAGATGACATGTCAGCAACTTACCTCTTTGGCACCAGGAATTTCAAAGATTGATTTAGGACTGTCGTCAGTGATATAGGCTGCATAAGCAGAGTCAAAAATAATAATTGATCCATTATCCCTTGCAAATTCTACAAGCTGCTGTAATTGCTTCCTTGTTGCTGCATGACCTGTAGGATTATTTGGAGAACAAAAGAAGATAATATCTGTTCTTGGAGTGGTTGCTAAATCTGGGAAAAAATTATTTTGAGGTCCACACGGCATGTATTCAATGTTCTGGTACTTCCCAGTTTTGTCTTGAAAATCACCAGCCTGGCCAATAATAACACTTGAATCTATATAAGCCTGTTGCAAAGAACATTTTCCATCTTTAAATATTACAGCTCTGATACAAGGATCCATCGTAAATCGTTGCAAAAGCCTAATATGATCAATTATCAGTCAATGACAAGGTCCTTTGATATTCTACAAAAAGATTCAGACATGTAACAACAGCAAAATTTCAGACATTAATGCAGCAACCAAGAAATTTTGATTCAAAACTAAGAAAACACATGATGAAACTAGGAAATATTTCATCTAAATGTTACTACAAGCATTTCTCCTTCAGCACAATAAATTATCACTCCAACATGTTCCCCGAGGTTCCCAATTAGTTTCCAATAACAGATTTCCGAAGAAGTAGATCTCCACACACAAATTATTTAGAGAAAAGTAAGGTAACTTATTTTTTTTCCCTTTTTCAATCACATTAAAAAGCTTACTTCAGTTTGAGGAAATTAGTGGAAAACAGTATAGACAATGCAAAAAGAACAATAGTACAGTTCCTGTAATGCCAAATCTTCGGGCAAAATACTAATTTAATTCAATGAAAAAATAAGTCAGTTTCTTATGTGTAGTGAGATTTTGTATATGCATATGCAAGATCCAAAGATTAGGACAACATATAATGTCTTCAAAATTAAGAGCAAACTAGCAAGACATAGAATAATTATGCTTGTGTATTACTAAACTTACATCCATATTCAGCTTTCTTGAAGATATTTTTGCTATTAGACAAATAACATGCAGGGTACAAAATAATTAATAAAAATTTAAACAGAGAGAAGCATCATAATGTCACCGGAAAAGATGGATCCTGCACGGCTATTGTCACTTTTGAACCTAGAAGCAGCTGCAAATATAGAAATAGATGAGCAGGCACTTTGAACACAAGAAATCTCCAAGTTAGCTCGGGTTGTAAGATAACTTGCATAAGATGCCGGATAATGGACCAAAGATGGAGTACAAAAAGAAAAAAATCTTATATGAAGAGTAACCTGAAGGCGGGAAATATCACACTGAGAACCATCTGATACAAAAACTTCTGTGTCTTTTATGACTACATCTTTGTAGAATGTTTCTGCAATTGCTTTCCTCAACGCCTGTTATTTATGCAAAGTTAATATTACAAAAGTTTACCTGATAACAATTACTTAAACAATCATCCCTTCTAAAGCACAATAAGATAAACAGAAACAGCATGAAATTAAAAATCAGACATTCGAAAAGAATTCAGTATATTAGTGTAACCCTTAACCTTACACATATAAACATCATTTTGTTCAAAGCAGTATGTATATACGCACTGTTCAGTAGAAGGGGGATAATTAAATAATTTATCCACTGATTTCCCAGCTAGGCTCATAAAACTAATTTAATACAAAAAGATTCACCCAAGTCATACTACTGGTAAAACACTAGTCATGAGTTGGCTACATAGAAACAAAAGGGTCCCAGAATCTCATAACTAATGGCTGTAAAAGATATATTGAACTTCAAGAAATCAATCCAATAGAGTGATCAGCTAACAAACAAGTCTTTTGGGAAACAAACACCAATATACCTGGTTCCCTTGCTCAGCTCCATAGCCTCTGTAACCATCAGCAGTTGAAAGGGCACGCGCATACTGCAAAATACCATAGAAGTGAAATATTTATGTCTCAATAAAATGAAGCAACCTTCCTTTTCTCCCGTCACAAAGACGGACATTGGGTTATTTATGAAGATAATTCATTGCCTAAATCCCTGCAAAAGGCGTACGCTTGATTAAAGGCTCTTTGCTTTATTTGTGCAGCACCTTAGAGCCTAGACGCACCTAGGTATGCAACTTGATAACACTGGCCTTAGGCACAAAATATTATCGGCAAACCGGAAGACATGTGGATAATCCGTTGGACTCTTCATAAATAAACAGCTCTCCTAAGTCTTAAAGTTAAAACTCAGGACAGAATGATGACTATCAAAATATATTGATGGATTCCTAAGAAATTTCAAATGTAGAGTTGAAAATTTTAGATCTTGAATTAGACCTCAACTAGTTTATATTGATAGATTCATAGCTTTTAACAAGTTTGGTTGCACTAAGATAAACCTTGAATTAGACCTCAACCAACTAGCCAACCATCAAGTTTAATTAACAGCGTATGTTTGAAAATTCTTGTTGAAGTTAATGTTAACATAAGCCTGTTTCATCCAGGTCCATATCTCAATTCTCTACTCCAAAAGACAGTTGCAGCACAAATTGTAAGAATATACTGAAATTTGGTAAGACTTACATTAGCCATGCTAAGGCTAATTTTCTCAGGAATGGGCTCCGTGGTATCACCAATTCCAAGGCTAATCACTTTTGCATTTGGGTACTTATCCATGTGCTGGACCTCCCGCTTTGAGATCTGGTTCCAATCCAATTAGAATCAAAAGCAGCAGCAAATGGTAAAATATTAGGTCATCTTGGATAACCAAGAAAAAATACAAGAAGTGGTAGTTTAAAATTAGTAAAGAAATATATAAAGAGCTTGGTAGAATGGATTAAACCAAGAGCCCAGCTAAGAAGGCAACAATATCTTGTGCTTCAAGAATCAATTTGATCATAAAAACTATAATTTCAATTAAAAAATATTTACAGTGCGAGAATAAATAAAAGGTCCATCACTAGTGACAAAAGAAGGGCTACAAGTTTACTCCACTCTTGTTACATTGAACTGCCAATATGTAAAAAAAAAAAAAAAAGGGCAAACAAAAAAAGCAAAGGAATACTTAATGGGATTATAAAGATCATCTCTCAGGACAAAGCTAAAATGTCCAATTTGTAAGAATAAATTACCAAAATCCTAGCAGAAAAGATGTAAGAATAGGAGATTATAAAGATAACCTCAGGAAACAAGTAGTTATTTTGCAGCTTTTCCAAGTTTACATTACGGGGTACATTTGTGCGATGACCTGTGATCACACAAGTTAAACTGTTCATGCCAAATTTGTGGCTAAAGAAACCTTAATAAGAAAATGAAAAAGAAAAACAACTAACAAAAATGGTTTTAAACAAATGCAATACATGGAACATACCATTTCCCTGCTTTCGAATTCTCAAACTGCGTGCCAGTCAACAAACAAGGACACAATTCAGAGAGTGCAATGTATAAAATGGTAGCAGGAGATGTAGGAGATATGAGAAAATTTTATCTATATTTCCAAGATTATATACCTGGCCAGGACCATCTTAGGGTGCAAGGAAATTCCACAGGCCATAGAACAGCAAGCTGATAGCTTGTACATTTTGATTTTGGATACCTTGCACAAAGACAAGCTCCTCTAATCTTCTTGCTTTGGTGTGAGGTAAGTAGTAAGAATGCAACCCATCTGCTTTGAGAATTATATATAGACCCATGTATGCCACAGATAATCAGCAATCTAAAAGCATCCATGATAAGCTATATGTCACCCTCAACCTGGATTTATTATAGATATCAAGGAGATGACCATGCAGAAGTCAGTCCTTGGAAGAAGACGCATGTGAAATCGATCATTTCACACCAGATGTCAATGTTCATAGCTCTTTTCATTTGTTGATAGTCGTGGTTGGACTAGTGCATGCATTGATCTTTAATACTAATATAACAAAGAGTGACCGGTCTATTTTCCACATCTTTACCTAATGTCTTCCTTTATTCCTCTTTCCCCTTTTGCGTGATGCTCTTTACTTCAATAGTACAAGGAAAATGGTTCAATTTTTAACTTTGACGTGGCATTTTTGATCCTTAAAAGTATCACTATATCTTTTGAGAGGAAAAAGGAAACATTACTAGTTTATATGAAATATCTTGAAAAGAACATTAATTCCTGTCTGTCAATGAAAGCTCTCTCTTCCATTGCTTGCCATCAAGCTGTGGTAGCTTATACAAGATGCCCTTATGTGTAGTCTAGTCACAAAATTTTTCCTGCATAGAGAAAGATAAATCAAACCTTAATAGACTATAGCTTGTACATTTTGGTAATAGACATGTTGAACAAAGACAATCTCTTCTAATCTTCTTGTTTTGAGATTAGAAGTGTAGTAACAAGATTTGTTATCCATCTGTATTGACAAATGTATAGGCTCATGCCACAGTCAATCAACAATCTAAAACTTAATATTGTAGATATTTCACCCTCAACCTGGATTTATTATGGATATCAAGGAGATGTCTCATGCAGAAGTCAGTCCTTGGAGGAAGAGGCATCTTAAGTCGATCTTTCAAACCAGATGTCAATGGTCAGAGCTTTTCATTATGATACTAGTTATTGGAGTACAGCATGCATTGATCTTTTAATAGTAATTCAGAAAAGAGTGACACCTCTATTTTCCACAGCTTCACCTAATGTCCTCCTTTATTCCTTTTTCCTCTTTTCCGTGATGCTCTTGCCTTCTATCTTACAAGGAAAATGGATCCAAAATTTTCCTCATTGTTGCATTTGAAATCATTGAAGTGCCACCATCTCTTTTGAAAGGGAAAATAAAATATACCAGTCTAAACGAAATGTTCAGTAAATAATATTCAAATTCCTGTCTATCAATGGGAGCTTGCTTTTCACCGACCGTCACTCAAAAGCCAAGAATCTGTACAGTCTTATGCATGATTCCGCCTCGCATAGTCTAGTCTTCAAAATATTTCCAACATACAGAAGATAAGCCACCCCCTAAACGTTGATATAACGTTTTTACCCTTCGAAATATCTAGACTAGGCCTGCTTGTGCTCAACTCATCAAAGTTCCCAATCCAATCTACCATTTAAATATCACATGCAAACACTGGCTTGATAGTAATGGACCTTAAGGACTTAATTACTTTACTACATGTCGGCAAAATTATATTTCGACTTCAATGTTAAAGTAGCATGTAGCACAATCTAGATGATTACTACAGGGAGTGACTCCGTAACTGATATGAGTTCTTTATCGTCTTTGATAAGTCAAGTGAGCATTTTCTCCGTCGTGTCGCATAAATCCATGTGCCATTGGAAAATCTTGACTCAAAAGTTTCTTGTCATTAAAATAAAACCACATGTCGGCTTCCTCACCATTTACTTGAGATAAAAATTCTACCAATCTACACTAGGAAACACAAAGTTCATTCCAATTTCCACGTTGAAAAATTCCAAAAAACAATTCCTTAAAAGAACTTCCCTGCATAGCACGAACAAAGTTCCAAGAAACTTCAAACCTACCAATTATCATAAGCTACAGAACAAAGAATCTTGACTAAAAATGTCAACATATTCAAATGTAATTTTTGTCTACCAAAATTATTGTTAAAAAAATCAAAAGCCATTTTGACTTCCATAAATATGATCAACCCCATAGTATTTATATCAAAACTCTTCATTGCAAAGAAATTATATTGAAAACGACATCCCCATAGTTTGAATGGCATTTGCAGGAAAAGAAATGGGCAAATACCTACTTTCCACCCTATAAAAATTAATGCCAATAGATAGAGAGAGAGCTTAAAATATCTGATCTTTCAACATTATTGTTTCTGAAACTAAATAGGCATTGACATTGAAGAATAATAAATTAGTGTTTGCAGAAACCGGAATCTGAAATATGGAAATAACAAGCCAATGAGCACCCCCAGAACCACGATTTCATTTATATTATTTGAATAGTCAAACCATTTCTCAATGGAAAAACAAAAAATGAAATAGTCAAAAGTACTAGATAGGAACGAAAATGGTACAACGGGGGAAATAATAATAAGGAAAAATGAAAACAATTCAGCACCTAACAATGTAAACCTGAAAAGTATCATGTTCTATTTGTTTTGCGTAAATTTATTTTCAAAAAATATTTTTTTCAAAATTTTTTATATTTTTAAAAAAATTAAAGATTTTTTATTGTTTGAATGAAGTAATGAAAATATTTTTTGCTGCTTTCTAGAAAAATTATTTCTTTTAATAATACATATAATTATTAAATTATTGAAATTATTTATTAATAATATATTGAAATTATTTATTACTATATTTATTAATGTTAAAATAATTTTATTTTAATAATAGCATTTAATATTAAATATTAATTTATTAATATAATAATATTAAAATATTAATATTTAATACTAAAATAGTTATATTTTATATTGACAGTATCTATTTTTAAATTAAAATAAAAATATTATTGATTTATATTTATTATTAAAATAGTAATAAAATAAAATATAAAAATAATATATTTCAAATTGAAAAATATTAAAAATGATTAAAAATATTCATATTATTAAAATAATATTAACATTCTATTAAATAATATTAATTATTAAAACAATAAAATATTATTTAAATAATAATATTATTAAAATAATAAAATAATAATATCTATTATTGAAATATTAAACATATTTATGTTTAATACTATAAAAAATAGAATATTTAAAATTAAAATATCAAAAGACTTTTAATATTATTTTTAATTAAAATTAAATAAATTTTTTTTTTATTAATATAATAATATTTTAAATCGGATCAACCTTAGAATTCAAATAACGAGTTTAAATATCATGTTCAAGATTCAACTTAATTAGAATTATAAAATATTTAAAATTAAAAAATTAAAAACCTTTTAATATTAACATTTTAAAATTTTAAGTAAAATTAAATAAATTTATTTTTATTAATATAATAATATTTAAGGACGGATTAAATTAAATCTGAGCTTAAAAATTATTTTCAAAGTCCGATTTGAATAAAACTATGATTACAAACTTGATAAATAATCTTATCTATAAACAATTATTTTTTGAAAATATTTTTTCTTTTTAAAAGAAAAAAAAATTTTCTAAAAAATTAGCTTAATTTTTCATTGATCAACTAATTTTTTATTAAATAAATAAATAAATGTAAAAATTATTTTTTACCAAACAAACTGAACCTTAAGAAAAAAAAATGAAGAAGGATAGTGGAGAAATTCACCGGTGTTTTTGCTTTTTGTGTTTTTTTTTTTTGACCCAGCAGTGGTTTTTAATCAGCTTCCATTTTCCAACCTCAAATAATCTTCCATTCTTATCCAAAAAAGTAAAGCTGTCTTTCAAGCTAAAGCTATGATTTTCCAAATTTCCAAAGTGGGTTCTGAAGAAAAAAAAGAAAAAAGTTGGTGAATTGATCAACAGTTCTTGGCAGGCTTGGAAATTTAAGGCATACGGGGTCACCTAAACTGCATATCCTTGTTTCTTTCTCAGGCCTGATGCTGACAACCCTGTATATTTTCATCATTTTTCTAATTTTTAATTTTCAACTGCATTATAAAATTACATAATATATCAATATATAATTGCTTTGATATAACATGAGGAAGTATATAATTCAAATTCAAATCACTTTTGGAAGCTAAATCTCTTTTACATTATAATAATTTTTAGAACATCATATTCATTTCATTCCACAAAATAATGTTTGGGTTAAGTTTTTTATAATAAAAAAATTTTCAACTTTGGTAATTGATATTTTAAATATTTTATTAATGATTTTTTGTCAAAATATATTTTAAAAACTTCTTCATTCAAAGTGTTTGAAAAATATTTAAAATAAAATTAAGTTAAAGTTAAAAAAATTTATCATTAAAAATCTAACTATAATAGTATTTATGTATCCAGAAAGTATTACTTTAGGAGTAATGCTATTCCTCCTAATTTTTTTGCTTCTAGATGTGACAAAATTTTATAATAGGTGACATCCGGAGCCATCCATGGGTCAAGACAAGCTTAGTTGATACTTTCAAAATTTTGTTAAGGTCAAGTTTAGTTTTCTCATTTTGTCTCGGTTAATATTTAAAAATAATATTAAAAATTATAAATAATTTTATATTAATATTTAAAATATATTTAAAAATTAAATTTAATTAAAAATAAAATGTTACTAATAAAATAATAATTCATAAAATATCTCACATGGAAAGTCTTATGCACTTGCAATGGTCTACTACTACTAGTATTTAACAACTATTTTTTTCCTTAAAAAAAAAAAAAAAAACTATTTGAAAGTGTAGTATAGTCAAAACTCACTACGACTATTACTAAAAAAATCTGTGGCTTTTAATTTCAATAAATAAAGTATTTAGAATGTGCACATGTACATTGACCATATAGTTTCAATTATATATATATATATATATATATATATATATATATATCTCTTAACAACCTTGTTGTAGCTTCATGCTTCAAATGAACAAAAGAAAAATTAAATAAACCTAATATACTTACATATTAAAACATATATAAGTTTATATGCATATATATACATAAAGATTCAATTATATCAATGTAAGTATTTTAATTTTTTTTTTTACTGTTAGATCAAAATTGTTAAGATTTAAATTATTTATTTTAATCCAAATTTAAGTGTAATACTTACAATTATGTAAGTAGATCCTTCATATACATATATATATATATATATATGCACATATTTTCTATAGAATGAATCTACTTACATTGATATAAATTTTATGCTTTTTATCATTGAATCAAAATGGTTAAAATAAAAATATTATTTGATCAAATTAATTATAAATTTAATTTTGATTTAAAGGTGAAAAAATATAAAACTTACATTAATATAGATAGATCCACTCTAATTATATATATATATATATATATATATATTCTATGATCATATTTGATGAATAGATGATAGGTACGATAAAATGATAATAATTTTATATTATATTTGATTTATATGAAAAAAATGATAGGATTATCATGAGAATTAATTATTCTCTTGG